TTGACAAAGTCACTTCTGAAAATCCAGACAGATGCGGAGCTCATCAGGTCCTGGACAGTCACATCTTTCTGAAGGACTTCTGAGGCAAGTGCTCCATACGGGGAATAAACCACATTGCACAGAAAGCTCTCCGACAAGAAAATGAGCATGTTCTTCACCCGTGGTAAAAAGGTCATGTGATCTGAGTTAAGGGACAGAACCCTGGGCACATAAGATGGTGGGTTGGGGCACTGAGTACCTTGAAAATCTAGGCCACATGGCAGCGCGTTCAAGAAGAACACAGCAGGCAGACCTAGGTACAGTGCCACGATGGGGCCACAAGGGAGGAAAGGGTCTGCCAACACGGCATCGAAGCGGCTTTCCACCAGGGAGGCCATAAGTTCCTTGTTGTGCAGTAAGTGGGAGCAGGCAGAAAAAATCAGGGCAGAGTCCTCCTTGACTTTCTTGTACGTTTTGACCACACGCTGCAGCAAAGGCTCATTCTCAAAGACACCGTGCCCGAGTTTGATAAAAGCTTCTTCCACGTCTTCCCTTCGGAATGGCACAGGGTACCTCTTCAAGGTGTAGAACGCTCCTTCTTTGATGTGCATGGAGGCCTCGGAAGCTAGGACCACCAAGTCATGTCCCCTCTGGTGCAGCTGCCCCACGACCCCAAGCACACTCAGCCAGTGGCTGCCGTCCACGGGGACCAGCAACAGCTTCCCAGCCTGGGACACAGTGGGGTTCAGTGCACACAGCAGCAGGCCCAGGACAAACGGAGGTGGATCGTGGGACCTTGCTGCCATGGTTCCCCTGCCTTTGCTATCAAGACTCTCTCTTGCCAAAAGTTTGCCCTCTCCTACTTTCCTGTCACAAGAACCAATCTATACTTGGAGTTAATGGTTGATTGTATCACATGACTATAGCTGGTCAGTATGCTGCAAATAACAGGAAGTTCACCTTTAGAGGTAACAAGGACAGACTTTACCGGGTTTCTTTTTTCTTTTTTCCAAGTATTCTTATTTTTTATTTAGCTGCTCTTAAGTTTTTATTTTAATTACAGTTAGGTTAACATACAGTGTCATATTAGTTTCAGGTGTACAATATAGTGGTTCAGCGCTTCCGTTCATCACCCAATGCCCATCCCAGCCAGCAAACTAGCTTTCTTGGTCGGCAACAACAGTTTCACCAGCTGGAATTCTTTACCAACCACTCAAATCACATTCTTGAGGGGCCAGAGAAAGGAAAGCAGCCCCAGCATCGTTGAATGCATTAAACGAGTATTTCCATGGACCAAGAGGGGAAGAAAAAAGGCTATGTGGTGACAAATTAGACTTCCTTTTCAGGAATGAAATAGAAAGCAGAATGTGCCTTTTAGAAAGAGGAGAACATGACGCTGCAAGCCTGCTTTTGGCCCTTCGCAGCCTTGCGGGATGTCCTTCCCCATGGGTCACTCAGGGTCTTGCCCAACACGGTACCATTTTGATGCATTCATCCGAACAAAATGCTTATTTCGTCCTACCCGGCGCCGAGCCTCGGGGTGCCGGCAGAGACCACCACAGACGAGTGTCCTGCCCCCCCAGAACTCGGGCTCCATCAGAAGAGACAGACGGGCAATATGAGCAGATAAACAGGCGTGTCAGGGGCTGTGAAGCACGTCAAGAAGGAGATGAACGTTGACGGCTAGTGAATGGCGGGAGGGAGGCCCACTGGAGTGCACATGCGCAGAAGGCCTCTCTCAGGACGGATGCGCGTTCGCTGGGACAGACAGCCACGAGGGCAGACACTGAGAAAATCTGATGACCGGGTTGCAGCAAAGGGGAAAGGTGAACAAAACCAAAAAGAACATGGATGTGTGGAGTATGTATCAGGTATCAAATATGGTGTTAAGCATGTCACAACGCATCTTACATAATCTCCTAAAATATCCCTTAAAGGCAGATAGTATTGTTCCCACTTTAGGAAGGAAGACGCTGAGGCTCAGAGAGAGAATATGGGCTGCCAGAGTCCTGCGCTTACTAAGTGACAGAGCTGAGATGCAGGCCCTGAGTGTCAGAGCATGGAGACCCCGCTCTTAACCACAACTCCCCATGGCCTCCAGCACTATCCAGATCTTAGGGCCAGGTTTGAAATTTACAGCAGGTTAGGAGCCAGAAGTAAAGCTGTGATCCCCACAGTCACTACCCAATCAAAATAAATGGGGAGAACGCAGATGTGCTCACACAGTAATACCCAGCACTAGCTCGTGCCCCAAAAGAGCAAGGGAAGGGTCAGGGAGCAGGTATGTTAGTCCCAAACAGAAATTCCCCTCCCGAAGAAAAGGCAAATCTGAGTGCAGACAGAACTGATCATCCCACCCTGTTCTTTGGGAATCCGTTGCTGTACACTACAGTCCCAGGATGGGAGCACAGATCTCAATAATTTGACCATGGACATCACTGGCCACCCATATTCGGGGACTTGATAAGAAGGTCATGGAGAAACTTATAAGTCTAAAGTTTTGATGTCCTGTGGGGGCATATTCACAGGGCCCCCTTCATTCTGGTACTTAGCACAGGTACTTAGAGTCCCTCCTTCCCTGTACCACTATCCATCCTCCACAGACCTCCAGTGCCACATGTGCTTATACATGGGTGCACACATACACACATGCTTAAACATACATGTACTCAGAAGCTTCCTACTCACACACAGCCCACCCCACCCCAAGCACTTTCCGTTCTCCTGGGCTAAGGTTCTGGGTGGGTAGAGAAGGGGCAGCAATGCTATTCAACCCACTGGTGTGCCCCTATCTGCAATTCTGAAATTCACAGTCCAGTTTAAATATTAAGAGCAATAATTTATCTGAATTCTCAGTGTCATAAGAGTTCATTCATAAATTACCCAGAGCAAAAGGGCTGTAAACATAACACAGTCACCACTGTGATGATTTTATGACTTTCCTACATCACGCAGAACCTCAGGACTTTTTGAGGCTTCTGTGTTCCTGGATGCTTTGGGGACATGACTCTGCCCTTATAAGCAGGGTTTCAGCTTTGGAATCACTCGCTCGGGTGCCAGTCCATGGCTTTGCAGACAGTAAGCACTCAGTAAATGTTTTTGTATAGATGTGACTCATCCCTTCTCCTTTGCTCTAGGCCCCATATCCAAGCAAGCAAGTGCTGAATGCTCTGTCTCTGAGACCCAGCTTCCACAATCCCCCATGGCCCCCAACCCATATCTACTCATTCTGGTCCCAGCATCAGCTGCCCCCTGCACTGCCCCTGCACTGCACCACCATCCCTGAAACCTTGGTCAACAGCTTCCTAGGACCCAGAATAAAATTTAGACTTCAGCCTTTCCCTCAAAATTTCCTGGAATGGGCCTTCAGCCTACCTGTCCAAGCTCGTTACTCCTCTCCATTCCTTTCACCAGACCCCTCACCCTCTGCCCCTTTCCCTCCACTCATTCTGGATCACTTGACCTTCCCCAAACAGACTTTTCCCATGTGGCTTTGTTCACACTAGACTCTACTCTGAATCTACTTTCTACTACTGTTTATTGCATGATTACAAAGTGCCAGCTCCAGGATTGTACTCAGCCCCTCAGGGTGACATGAAGTTTGTCCTAGTGACATAGAGTGCCTCATTGGATCTACTACCCTTTATGATGAAATATTAGAGTTCACTGGTTAATCATTTTCCTCTTAGAACTAAGTGACCTTTATTGGTATTGCCTTGCCATTTATTAAAGCAAAAAATAAAGTATCAGAGAATAAGAAGAAGGCAGAGAGAGGTCAGATGTCCAAAAATGCCAAAAAGAAAGTTATGGTCATTGTATAGCAGTTTTACGGGAAATAATTACGGTACCAAGATTGACCTACACCACCACAAGCATGACCAGCAAGTTTTAATCGTTTTAATACACTAGACTAGGAGTTCTCAAGCTATGGGCCAAGACACTCTGGGGATACCCAAGAATTTTTTAGAGGAATTTTGCAAAGTCAAACTATTTCCATAATGATATTTGGCTTTTTCACTCACATGCTCTCTTAAGGGTACAGTGGTTTCTCAGTGGCCACATAACCTGTGGTATAGCAATAGATTGCCTGCAGAAGCAGGCAGAAGAATCCCATTCTCTTCTTTTAAACCAGAGAGATGTGGAAAATGTAGGATGTGCCCTCTTCACTAATTTTTTTGCTTTGAAGAAGTTATTTTGGGGCTCCTGGATGACTCAGTCAGTTAAGCACAGGACTCTTGATTTAGGCTGGGGGTCATGATCTCCAGGTGCTGAGATCCAGCCACATGCAGGCTCTGGGATGAAACTGTGGAGTCAGCTTGGGATTCTTTCCCTCTTCCTCTCCCTCTGCCCCTCCCCCACACTAGCACGCGCATCTGGGAGCACTGTCACTCTCTGTCTCGCTCTCTCAAATAAATAATAAAAATATGATTTATGTTAGCATGTAATGGCTTCATTGCTATTAAATTGGCTAACAAATTTTTTTCTTTGCTTTAACTTCTAATGGAGTAAGTATTGATAGATATAACCTACATTAAAAGAGCAAAAGGGTCCTAGAAACAGAAAACCGGAGAACTCCTGTTCTGGACCAGTGATATGGCTATCCTTGAGCACAGGGTCAGACAAAACACACACCCCTCACTCTAACCCCACGGGCGGAGGGAGAGCCTGACAGAAGGCCTATTCTAGCAAAGCCATAGCCCCAGACCCCCTTACTCCCACTAACTTCCTCTTTTTCCTTTCAGAGAGGGCGGGGCCAGGGGTGGGCGGAGCCTCTGTGGGCGGGGCGTCCCCCACCCCCACCCCCGTGCGAAACACGCCACAGAGACCCTCGTCGGGAGCGTGGCAAGGCCCCCGCAGTGCATTCTGGGATGCGGTCTCCACCAATGAGATGCGGGCTACGTCACAAGGGCGCCCTTTCCGGGCGGCCTGGGCTCGCAGGGCACTCGGGCCCGTGCCCCGGGGGCAGCCACCCGCACCTCTTGTCGTGCCGGTGGCCCGTGGGCCGTGCCAGGCCTTCCGACATGGTGGACTACTACGAGGTGTTGGGCGTGCCCCGCCAGGCGTCGTCAGAGGCCATCAAGAAGGCATACCGCAAGCTGGCGCTCAAGTGGCACCCCGACAAAAACCCTGAGAACAAGGAGGAGGCGGAGAGGCGGTTCAAGCAAGTGGCCCAGGCCTACGAGGTCTTGTCAGATACCAAGAAGAGAGACGTTTACGACCGGTATGGCGAGGCTGGAGTAGAGGGCGGCGGGGGCGGCGGCGGGGGCAGCGGGTCCTGCCGCGACCCCTTCGAGTATGTCTTCACCTTCCGCGACCCGGCCGAGGTCTTCAGGGAGTTTTTTGGGGGCCGCGACCCATTTTCGTTCGACTTCTTCGGAGACCCACTAGAGAACATCGTGGGCGGTCGGAGGAGCTCCCGGGGAAGCAGAAGCAGAGGAACCGCTCCCTTCTTCTCCGCCTTCAGTGAATTTCCAGCCTTTGGGGGTGGTTTTTCTTCTTTTGATACAGGATTTAGTTCCTTTGGTTCCCTGGGGAACGGAGGCCTTTCTTCCTTCTCCATGTGTTGTGGTAGTGGTGGGACTGGCAACTTCAAATCCATGTCGACTTCCACCGAAATCGTTAATGGCAAAAAAATCACCACCAAGAGAATCATTGAGAATGGCCAAGAAAGGGTGGAGGTGGAAGAAGACGGAGAGTTAAAGTCCCTGATAATAAATGGCAAAGAGCAGCTGCTGCGCATTGACACCAAGTAATTCCAGTCCACGTTCAATTTAGAGCACATGGTGAGGAATGGCAGGACTTTTTTTTTTTTTTTTTTTTAAAGATTGCAAGGGAACTCTACTTTCAGAACAACTGTACTGAAGAATTTATAAACAGTCATGCCAATGCCTATTTGTTGTTATTGTTGGGACCACATGAATAGGACCTCTGTTTCTCTTTAAAACTTGTAAATATCTGTATGCACTTTGCTATTTATTAAACATAATCCCGAGGCAGACGGTGATTATTTCCTAGTACTAGGACACAGTGTTACAGCACCTTGAACCTTGCCTTTCCATTTTGTTTGAAATGTGAGCCAGGTAGTTTTCTCTGAAGTTAACCTTGCCAAGATAAATCGTTTTACTTCCATTTTTTTCACCACATAATAGTAAAAGATGTGTACACACTAGTACTTATGGCTTAAGGATGGTTTTTAGTCCCACATAGACGCTGGTGACTAGTAAGAGTTTTCCGTTTAAATATAATAAACCTAGGCTTTTTAAGAAACAGGTAAACCTGGCAAAGTGGGTGTATTCATTTCCTACGGCTACTGTAACAAATTACCACAGATTTGGTAGCTTAAAACAATGCAGATTTATTCTCTTATAGATATGGAGATCAGAAGTCTGAAATCCATTTCAGGAGACTGAAGTCAGTGTAAGCAGGAACATGTTCCCTCCAAAGGCTTGAGCAAAATACGTAGGTGAATTCCTCACAGTTACATGATTATTTAATAGCATCAAATGGACTTTACTCAGGTCACTTAAGCAATTTTAAAAAACTGGTAGTGATGACTCAAAACCTTAATAGAAATCTGATTGCTAGCCTCTACCCACCCAACTTGGTTCTACAACTATGATTGATGGAAATGTGGAAAGTTATTTCTCTAAGGCTACACAAAACTACCCTATTGCTGGGGGCGCCTGGGTGGCTCAGTGGGTTAGGCCGCTGCCTTCGGCTCGGGTCATGATCTCAGGGTCCTGGGATCGAGTCCCGCATCGGGCTCTCTGCTCAGCGGGGAGCCTGCTTCCCTCTCTCTCTCTCTCTCTGCCTGCCTCTCCGTCTACTTGTGATCTCTCTCTGTCAAATAAATAAATAAATAAAAAATCTTAAAAAAAAAAAAAAAAACTACCCTATTGCTGTGTGCAGGATGTATCTTGTTTCAAATTAGGTTGACAAAAGCCACGACTATCGGAAAGCTTGGAGTAGTAACTGGGTGAGGCAGCATACATCTGAGAGTACATTTCTGTTGGCACAGTTTATACCCCCAGTGGAAACCACTTTGGGCATGGTTGCGTTGGGATTGTCCATCACAAAGTGTGCCATCCCCTTTGGTCATGACTAAGGGAAAGTTTGCATAAGGTATTGGAGCAAAAAGGCAACTGAACTAAACAGACTAAAAATGCAGCATATTCCTTCCTTACAGGAAGGTCATGTGACTTGAGCACACTGTTTAACTAGGAATATATGAAGTTGAATTTGATATCTAAAGGCCAATCCCTGTGGAATGGCATGTGAACAATATGCAGCAGGAACATACGATTCAGCCACTACTGTCCCACGAGGGCACAGAGTCTGTTAAAACTACCTCAAATGGTCACTGAGGTACCCAGGCAGTGCTTCTCACCCACTAATTGTAAAAGAACTATCAGAATAAAACAGACTACTGGGGCTTTTAAAAAAAATAATAAGTTTATTTGCTTGCCAGGCTAGGGAACAACACACCAGTGAAGATATTCATAGTTGTTGGTGGGGAGGGGAGGAGGAGCAAGGAGGAAAGTGATGTTGTGTTTTGAAGTGATAGAAATTAAAAATCACCACTCTGTATAGGACAGAATAAGTGCATTTGTGTCTATACAGTTGGTTAACATAAGTCTCCATTGGTCAGGAAAGTCTTCAGTTGGGTACAGTAAGACTGGCATGGGGGCAGGGGGGTCATTCAGAGGTCATGGATTTTTTTTTTTTTTTAAGATTTTGTTTATTTACTTGACAGAGAGAGACACAGTGAAGAGGGAACCCAAGTAGGGGGAGTGGGAGAGGGAGCAGCACTCCTGCTGAGCAGGGAGCCTGATGTGGGGTTCAATCCCAGGACCCTGGGATCATGGCCTGAGTCTAAGGCAGACCCTTAAAGACTGAGCTACCCCAGAGGTCATGGATCTTAACGGCTTTAGTGGAAGCAACACACAAGTCAATGGATGAATATATAAGCAAATGTGGTCAATCCATACAATGGGATATTATTCAGCCTTAAAAGGTAAGGAAACTGACATACGCTGCAACATGAGTAAGTCTTAAGGACATAAGCTAAGTGAAATAAGTCAAAAAAAGGCAAATACTCTATATGATTCCATTTATATAAGGTATCTAGAGTGGTCAAGTTAGTAAAGACAGAAAGTAGATTGGGGGATGCCAGGGGTTTTAACAGCATTTGTTGCAGCAAACAGCATTCAGTTAGAGATCTGGATTAGATCCAGATCTCAAAGTGGAGAGTTTCCCTTTTGCAGAATAGAAAGCATTTTATCTAAAGAATTTTCAAAACTGAAAACCGCTTTTTAAAAATAGTTCTAAAATCACAGTCCTGTATATCAGTATTCCTTGTTTATGGAAAGGCTTGAGTAGGCTTTCAGAGTAGAGAAAACACTTCCTCTGGTGCAAAGATGAGCATCTGCAGGACCCCGCAGTGGACTCCCTCCAGGAAGAGAGAGCAGTTTCCCATGGAGTGCACCAGTTAATAAGGAAGTAGTTTAAGACATCATTTTAAGAATTGGGCATATTGAAGTTTTTAAATAAAATTCTTTAAAGTGGGTGCCTGGGTGGCTCAGTGGGTTAAGCCGCTGCCTTCGGCTCAGGTCATGATCTCAGGTTCCTGGGATCGAGTCCCGCATCGGGCTCTCTGCTCAGCAGGGAGCCTGCTTCCCTCTCTCTCTCTCTCTCTCTGCCTGCCTCTCTGCCTACTTGTGAACTCTGTCTGTCAAATAAACAAATAAAATCTTAAAAAAAAAAAATTCTTTAAAGCTTTTTTTTTTTTTAAGATTTTTATTTATTTGACACAGAGAGAGATCACAAGTAGGCAGAGAGGCAGGCAGAGAGTGAGGGGGAAGCAGGCTCCCTGCTGAGCAGAGAGCCCATGCAGGGCTTGATCCCAGTACCCTGGTATCATGACCTGAGCCGAAGGCAGAGGCTTAACCCACTGAGCCACCCAGGCACCCTAAAAAAAAATTTTAAATAAGCATTTTTTTAGGTGTATCTATGGAACATTTACAAATGTTAATCGTATCTTATGCAATATAGTAGCCACTAGCTACACTTGACTACTGAGCACTTGAAATGTGATCAGTCCAAATTGAGATATGCTGTAAGTGTAAAATAAATACCAGATTTTGAAGACTTAGTATGGAAGCAAAAGAATGTAAAATAGCTCATTAAAATTTTATGTTGAGTATGTGTTGAAATTTTAACGTTAATTTTAGATATATTTGATTGAATAAGATATAATTAATTTTAGCCCTCTTTTTGCCTTTTTTGGTAACATGTCTACTAATTTTTAATAAATTATATTTATGGCCTGCATTATAGGTCAATTGGGCAATTCTATACTAGACCACAAAGAAAACCTACCAAAGTATTTAATGTAGGGACTTCAAAAGAAACGTTCTCTGATTAAAATCTAAAATAATTAGAAAAAAATAAGAGATAGCTATGGGAGGGAATAAACAACTTTGAATACAGCCCTGGACTTAGAGAGGAAATCCAAACCAGAAAATTAAATGACCAAAAACAGAACAAAGGAAAGAAAAAGAAAATATGAACAATTTATGCCAAAACCTAGGAGACATAAAAAATGTTCTATGAACTTCAATGCTTCATTGTTAAGAAAACTCTAACAGAAAGGAACTTAATGCTTAGCTAAGGAAAATTAGAAAAATAACTATAAAATAAACCAAAGGACAAGAATGACAATCATTACTATTTCATTAATGAAATAGAAAACAAAACTAGTAAAAAGAATAAGCAATTCCCAAAATGATTTCTTTGAGAAAACCAATAAAACAATTTCACCCATCATAATTTGTTTTTATTAAGTAGACTCCATGCCCAGCTGGAGCCCAGTGTGAGGCTTGAACCCATGACCCTGAGATCAAGACCTTAGCTGAGATCAAGAGTCAGATGCTTAACTGACTGAGCCTCCCAGATGCCCCTCACCCATCATAAATCTTAAGAAAAGGGGCAAAAATATGAAAGACTTCGACTCTGATCTTTCATACTTGGAGAAAATTTCCATGACTACTTAAAGAAGTAACATTTAAGGGTAAACCAAACCAAATAAGTAAGAATAACAAGATCTCAAAGTAAAAAAGAATTTAGTGGAACAAAAGTGATAATGGTGTGCCTATCACATATAATACTTGAGAATTTCGGTATAAATGATCCCTCATGTACCCAGTAAATTAGCACAAACATATCTAAAGTTCTTCAGATGACATACCTTGTCCTGCCGGGCACTTTGTAAATAACAGTAATAGAAAATATTTATTGTGTACTCATTGTGACAATAGTGAGGTCAGAATATTTAGGTAATACCTGCCCACCTGCCCATTCAGCCAGAAAAATGGGAGTGAGAATTTGAACCAGTGCAGTTAACTCCAGAGAATATTTTCACAAAGGAAAACTAAAAGATGCAGCCACTCCGGAAAACAGTATGGAGTTTCATCAAAATTTAAAAATAGAACTACCTTACTACCTTACAATCCAGCAATCACACTACTAGATAATTACCTAAAGAATACAAAAGTACTAAGCTGAAGGGATACATGCACCCTGATATTTACAGCAGCAGCATCTACAATAGCCAAATTATGGAAAAAGCCCAAATGTCCATCAGTAGAATGGATGATAAAAAAAATAAAATAGGTGAGTAGATAAAGACATGGTATAGGGGCACCTGGGGAGCTCAGTAGGTCAAGTGTCCAACTCTTGATTTCTCCTAACATCCCCTTCCCTTTTAGATCCTATTCATCACTTCACCCCCCCCTTCACTGGGTTCATAGGCTCATAGTCTGACCTCCCTCCCACTGTGTCCTTTGAGGACTTCAACATCCCAAGTAGGAGACCTGTCCAACCTACAATCCAACTCTGATCGTCCCCATGTCATACCCCAGTCATAACTTCTGGTCAGAAACCTTCCCAGCACAGCTCCATCTCTGAAAAGTTGAACTCATTTACTTCTTTCTTGGATCACACAGACCCCTGTTTGTCTCTTGCACTTTGTCTCCCTTCCACTTAATTTATTCAAGTTTCCTGACACTGCTGCTTCCTTTTTGTGTTTAGGTCTCTTGTGATCAGATCACACTCTAGCCCCTTCCAAGACAGGGCCACTAAAAAATCATGTCAACAAACACAATTTGCTGGTTCCTTTGTCCTTCCACTGAACAAGCAAACACCCACAAGCAAAGACTCCTGATGGATCAGCTCACAACTCAGCATCTCTGCTCCTACACAGTTGGAGAAAATTGCACAGCCCCACGAAGATGGTGCCTTTGCCAAAGGATGGTCCTAGTTGACTCACACTGGTGCTTGTCAATCCTCTCACAGACCCATGCCCCTGCCTCTCATTTCTTTTGGTGACCACTGCAAACCTTTACTACACCAGTGGAGTTGCTTCAACATTTATCTCACTGAACTTTTAGGAGAATGAGAGATAGAAGTCTTAGAAAAACTGGTAGATAAGTAAGCACCTGGAAATAAAAACAAAAACAAACGACGACAACAAAAGTGTTCCACCTGGAACGTTGATTGGACATAAGCACCAATACAGACCTGAGACAATGGCTTCCTGTGGCCACAGTTTATGCCCCCAATGAAGACCATGTTGGGCATGACTGGCCGGGGGTAGTCCAGGACGAAGTCTCCTCTGAAGAGCCACACAGATGCAGAGCTGAAAATGTCCACCACCGACACCTCTCTCTGAAGAAGCTCAGAAGCAAGGCTTGCATAAGGGGTTAAATAAATATGGCAAATGTACTTCAGGGCCAGAGGATAGAGCATGTTCTTGACCCTTTGCAAGAACGTCATGTGGTCTGAATTCATTGTTAACAACCTGGGAATATAAGAGGAAGGGTTTGGGCACTGTGTACCCTCAAAATCTAAGTCACATGGAATGGAACGCAAAAAAAACACAGCCGGAAGTGACAGGTACTTAGCCAGTACCGCCCCACAGGGGTAAACGGGATCAGTTAAAACCACATCAAAGGAACTGGCATTCAGCTGCCTGACCAGGTCCTTGTTACGCAGCAGGGCCTCACAAGACCTTTGAAAAACCAAAGTAGCGCTTTTCAAACTTTTCGTACCTTCCAAAAACATCGTTAGAAAAGGCATTCTTTTAAAAATCAGGTAACTCTGGCCCAGCAGGAGGTAATTAAACTCATCCTGGGTGTACGGAACTGCATAGCTCGTCATGTTGAAAAAGTCCTCCTCTTTGATATGCAGGTTCAACTCTGGCGAAACCACCACCATTTGGTGGCCTCTGGCATGGAGCTCCTGCACGGCTTCCTTCATGCTGAGCCAGTGGCTGCCATCCATGGGCACCACCAGCACCTTCCCACCTTCAGCCCAGGGTCCGACACACACGAAGAGCAACAGCCCCGTGAGCGCGGGCAGGGGAACCAGGAATCTGGCAGCCATGTCCGTAGGAGCCCAAAGCAGCTTACTTTTCAGATCAGGCTCTGCCTCCTACCTTTTTCCTTTGTCTTTATCTTATCATTGAGCCACTTAGAATAGCAGGTAACTGGCAGGCAGCATGTCCTCCTTGTGTTAATCATTACAGACTAGATCTATCCCTCACTTTCACCATCGCCCCCCTCCCTTCTCCTTCCACGCAGGGAAAGATCAATCTCTCTTATCACGGAAAAACTCATCTACCTTGACGGCTCTCTCCAGGGAACACTCTAATTCATTCTGTTGCTTTTTATCCAATTCCCAAAACAGGGCTATGGATGCCCGTTTCATTTGATCTCCTCCTATTCTCTGTTAACTGTGTCCTAAAGCGCTGTGACTGGGCTCTGAAGAGTCACCGATGCCCAGGTCTCGAAGCATAACCTCTCTGTTGGATGTGACCTCAGCTGAAATCTCTCAAAGCTCTCTCCTCCCATTGGTGGGGACCATGGAGCACAAACGAATATATAACATTGCTAAGACAGCTTTCTCTGAACAGGGAAGGGGGTACTAGCTCTTTGGTTTTGTTCCTTTTCCACACCAGGACATCTCTTGCAATGGTCAGGGAAGAAGAATCCTGAAGCAGCTGTCAAATATGGAAATATCTCAAAGAATCCTGCACTGGAGATGCGAGGACAGCCTAAGGGTTTGTTGAGCATTCTATATTTACTCCGCAAAATGCGAGTTGCTGTTACCTAAAGCGTAAATGGGCAAGACAACAACCCTTATCAATGACATGGTGGGACCAGAGACCCCCACCCCCAGGGCCTGCTTTCCTCTGAATAGGAGGTAGTGGTCACCCAGTCTCAGATCAGCCTCTAACTCCACTCCTCTTCTCCAGTCTTCTCTGTTTAGGGACTGGGGTCTTTCACCGATAACTTCCTTGCCACACCCTCCTTCCATGAAAACCACCCATTTCATACAATGCCTCAGAGCTTCCCTATACTTCCTAGATGGGATGATGCGTGATTCATGAATCCTTAAGACAATTAGATCTGCAAATTTACTCAGATTTTTATTCTTTAACGACTCTAAGATATAAATCTAGATAAAATAAATAAGGAGACATACAACATGATGGATGGGAAGATTGAACATGGTAATGCTCCTGATTTTGTCCCCAGTTAAGCTATAGATTTAATGCAAACCCAAACTAAATCTCACTGGGATTTTTAACATGACCAAACAATATTTTTAAATTCACCTGGAAGTATTACTGGCTTAGGGTGATAGAGGAGTAGCTCTTATCAGACCAATGGTCCCACAGATAATGATTATAAACTCTTGCAAAATGGTCTGTTTGTTTTTTTAATGCTGTCTGAAGGCACTGGGAAGCAAACAAAAGCAAGCAGAAACTTAAGGGGAAGATGAAGACAGGGTGGCACAGGAGCCCAAGAGTGGCCAAGTGCCAGGGTAAACGTTCCTTACTCTTCTTAACACCCACCTCTCATCCTTCTGCCCTCAACCACTGTACGGCTCCTCCCTGTTAACAGGAAGATTGTCTTAATGCCATTTGTACCCACACAGCCAGAAAATGGCCAGCACCTCAGTCAACCCACTACCCATTATGGGGTTTCTGCCCCCTTCCAGAGCTCAGACCAAGCTCTAGGAGTACTCCCTTTCTGTTGTGTCTGTCACAGTGCCCAACACTTGTCTGCCAGCCCTGAAGCCAGCAGAGCAGTGGGCACCACACGTTCTTCTCCAACCTCAGCCCTTCCAACCTTCTGACTCAAGCTTCAGCCTCTTCAGCCTCTAGCTGAGCTTCGGTGGCCCACCAACCTGCCCACGGTAGCAGCCTGCCCATCGGATAGCCGTCCATTTCCCCCTCCTCCAATGTGCACTCTGGGCACTGCCTCCAGCACGTACATTGAACCAGCCCGTGTTTTCATGTGTCCCCATACTCACATGGCGGTCCATAGCATCTGACATACGTGCCACTCTCCCCGCAAAAAGGTCAACAGCCTACTCAGGATTTCCCCCATGATACTCTTTCTCAAGGCCCATTTCTTCAGTTTCCTGGCTGTTTCTCCAACTGTTGGCTCACAAGCTGACCACCCTACGTGGAGGGCAAGGAGAGACTGAAGAAAGAGGCAGGCCACTCCTCCAGAGGGTGGGTGGCAGGGGTAATAAGCAAGAGAACTTACTCACAAGGCTTGTCTTGGGTGGCCCAAGACCAGTAGATCTCCGCCCCTGCCTGCCAAACCTTGAAAGTTTACATAGAGGCCTTAACTGGGTTCAGTCATCTGTACAATTCAGATAGTATACCATCAACAACACTGACTCTCTCAAGGCTACATCCTTGGAAACAGCTCCCACTGGAGAACGGTAGGCAGAACACACATCCCAAGGACAGTGAAGGAGCCGAGAAGCCTCCAATTGCCTGAGCCCAGCCCCCAGGTAAACCAGCATGAGCATCCTCCCAATGACTCCTTCCAACACTCAACACTAACAAAAACAAAATTCCTACTACACAAAGGATTTAAATAGATTATTGTCCAAACAGGATATGAGAACACTCAACAAGCGTAGGAAAATATGCTCAACATCAATAGTCATTAGGGAAATGCCAATAAAAATGAGATTTTACCTCTTGCCTACTAGGTTAGCTATAATAAAAAAATTTTACATGCAAAATAATAAGTGTTGGCAAAGATGTAAAGAAACTGGAATATCCATACATTACTGGTAGGGATATAAAATGGTGTAGCCACTGTGGAAAACAGTTTGTCAGTTCCTCCATAAGTTACACATAGGATTACCATCTGACCCAGCAATCCTACTCCTGGGTTTTTACTCAAAAGAACTGAAAACAACTGTTAAAAACTTGTCCATGGATGCTCATAGCAGCACTATTGACAGTGGTAAAGAGTAGAAACCCATCAACTGATGACATAAAAGTCCAACAGTAGAGGCACCTGGCAAGCATGTGACTCTTGATTTCAGGATGGTGAGTTCAAAGTTCCACGTATGGTGCAGAGATTACTTAAATAAATAAAACTTTTTAAAAAATGCCCATCAATTGATAAATGTACAAACAGTGGTCCATCCACACAGTGGAATATTATTCAGCCATAAAAAGAAATGAAGTGCCAGGGCACCTTGGTGACTCAGTCCATTATGTGTCCAACTCTTGGTTTTGGTTCAAGTCATGGTCTCAAGTCCTAAAATGGAGCCCCACGTCAGGCTCCACACTCATCAGGGAGTATGCTCAAGGATTCTCTCTCTCCCTCCCTCTCTCTGTCTTTCTCTGCCCCTCCCCCCAAATAAATATATAATCTAAAAAAAAAAAAAAAAAGGAATGGAGTACCAACACATGCTATAAATGGATAAGCCTTGAAACATTAAGCTAAGAAGCCAGATACAAAAGGCCACCTATCGTATGATTTCAGTTCTATAAAACATCCAGAATAGGCAAATCTACAGACATAAAGTGGATTGGTGATCACCAGGGTTTGGGGAGGGCAGAATGCAGAGTGAGTACTTAAAAGATAGGTGTGTGTCCTTTTGGGGTGACAGGAATATTCTGGAACTAGGTAGTGGTGATAGTGTACATCCCAGGTGTACTGCACACTTTTATTTTATGTATATCTTGCCACAAAAAAGCAAATGGAGCAGGCACTTTGAAAATCAATCTGGCAGTTCCTCAAAGATAAAACATAGAGTTATCGCACAACCCAGCAATTCTACTCCTCAGTACGTACCCAAGAGAATTGAAAACATAGTCCACACCAAACTTGTATATGAATGTTCATGTATTCATAATGACCAAGAAGGAGAAACAACTCAAAAGTCCATCAGCTGATGGGTGGTTACATGGAGTGTGGTATATCCAAAGAAGGAATTATTATTCAGCAATAAAAAGTAATGCTACAACATGAATGAACCCAGAAAACATGTCACGTTAAAAAAGCCAATCACATATTCCGTGATCCCCTTTATATGAGATGATCAGAATAGGCAAATCCATAGAGACAGAAGAGTAGATCAGTGGTTACCAGGAGCAGAAGAGTAACGGCTAATAGGGTAGGAATTTATTTTAGGGGTAATTGCAAAATTCCAAAACTAATTGTGGTGATGGTTGCTAGAAATACACTAGAAACCACCAAACTACAAACTTTCCGTGAATGAATTGTATGATCTATAACTTGTATCTCAGGAAAGTTATTTGTTTGTTTGTTTAAACCCATTTGATCTCATCCTCTTAGAATTATGTCAATTATTAATCAACCAAGGTTCAAGTTTTTCAGATACTCATGTTGAATACTTTTTTTTTTTTTTTTTAATGCTGACTCCTACTAGCATTTAGCTACTCTGGATAATTACTTAATAAACAGAAACAATACTGTCAAAATGTCCTGCGTGCCCGATCAGTCATAAAAATAAACACATTTCAAAACCCTTTTTGAAACAAAAGCAAACCACAAAAGGCATTGCAGACATTGGCCCAAGTCACGTACTTTAAAAAGTACCTATTAAGAATGACTTGGCATTTTGGGGTTTTGTGCCCCTGACTTGCCTCGAATTCAATCCTCAGCTCAACCAACAAATGTAGAGGCTGGAACCTGCATGACTATGACTTGTAGAGACCCTGAAGGGAGACCAGATGGCTCAGGGAGTGAATAAAGGATCTCTGTGGCCCCTCACCACCCAGCTGGGGCCCTGCTGGTAGAAGTCACTGACAGTCACATGGCATTGATTTAGGTCAGCATTTCTCAGCTTCAGCACTATTGGGGGACAGATAATTCTTTGTTGGGAGTGGGTGGGTGGGTATTTCTTGTGCTTTATAAAGGATTTTTAACAGCATCCCTGGCCTCTAAAATTAGACCGTATCATCCCCTAACTGCGATACCTAACATGTCTCCAGATGTTGCCTCCAAGGGTTGCAAAATTACCCCTGTTTGAGAACCACTATCTAGATGACTCCAGAATGCAAGACAAGCTGGGATAGAAGAGCTAGTCCTGAGGAGCTGGGATCTGGTTTTCTGAGAAAATGCTCCCCAAAGAACAATGCAAGAAAGCCATGTTGTTTGGATCACCTCATAGAGAGAATGTTCCAGCCTCCTAAGTGAAGGTCTAGAGAAGAGAGGGACGGGGCCATGGCTTCCCCTGATAGTCTTCCAAGCCCCTTCACACACTGCCCATGTGACCCTCAAACAGCCCTGTGAGGAGTGAGGCACATGCTGTCAGCCCCATTCTGAGATGAGAAGACCCAAGCCCAAGGCCAGGAGGCCAGGAGGAAATGCCTCCGATCTGCTGAGTCATCCTTTCGCCTCCTTTCTTCCCTTCATGGGGCTGCTACCCTCCAGGTCTTGTATAGCTGGAGAAAGAGTACCAGGCAAACGTGGGGTCTCCAGGTGGGAGAGTGACAAGGGGGTGGGTTCTTACCCTGCCTCTGCCCCTTGCTGCAGATGGTGGCCTAAAGCAGCTCACTTGGCTTGCCTGGAAATGGGTTTGCTCGTGTTGGGAGAACTGGACTGTTTCCTGTCTGAGGGGCCTCCATCCTGTCACTCCAGCCTAAAGCAGCCTGTCCTGCATGTATTGCATTTACAGTCTTCAAAGTTCTCCCATGAACTCTATCTTCCCTGCCCCCAGCCCTGACCTCTAGAGTGTTCCCATTTCACAGATGGAGGAATGAACACTAGAGATAAACCACCCACCCTGACCACACAGCTGGACTTGAATCCAGGTCTTATAGTTCTTACTCTTCTAATGTAATGGGGACAAAGGAGGGATCCCTGAAGCCAGCAGGGGAGGGAAAGCTGGTCCTTTCCCACCCAGGCTCAAGCTAGGGCTGGGCTCTGGTGCATTCCCTCCCACAGCAGGCTAGGCAGAGAGGATGTGCAGGTCCGGAAGCCTGAGCTCCCCATGTCCGTATGGCCCCTAAAAGGGAGAGTAAAAACCTGTCCCTGAACCTCTGAGCAGTTCTCTGCTTTGCAACTGGAAGAGACTAGAATTTATCTCTGAATTCCTTTATTCTAAGAAAAATGCTTCAAAGACCCTTCTAATTCTGAAATGTAATGCCAAACTCTCTTCTAAAATGGCTCAGTTGGTAGAGTATCTGACTCTTGATCTCAGGGTTGTGAGTTCAAGCTCCTCGATGGGTGTGGAGATCGCTCAAATAAATAAAACTCTTAAAAATGGAGATATTGGAAACCTAAGGAAAAGAGATTAGCCATGGGACAGATGAGTCTCAACTAAAAATCAGGGACAGTGGAGACAGTGTGCCAGCATCTGGCCTGGACTGAAGCCCCTGTGGGCAGAGGGAAAAGCCCCTGTGGGCAGAGGGAAAGGCAGAGGGGCCAGGTGACAAGGCGCACGGGGTTGGAGAGGAGGCCCTCAGTGGGGACAGGGATAAGCGGCTTCAGGACATCTGGAGTCTCCCAGTGGCCAGGTGCCTGAGCAGCTTCTCTGGGAGCATCTTGAGCGAAACCAACGAGGAAGGCTTCTGAGGTGGTTGCGTCCCGCCCAGGGTCAAGGAGGCAGGAAGAGCTATAGTCAGTCACGCTACGGTGGGTGTTGCAGAGTGATCTCATCCTTTGTTAGACACGCAAGCCTACTAGCACCCAGTTATCAGGCCAGAGTGTGAATCAGAGCATTACTGCAAGGAGTGTTCACCAAGCTCTGGTTTTCAAAAGGCTCTGCACATTAGCCAAAGCATAATAAGAAACTTAATTATATTTGTTTTGTAGGTAGGCCAACAGTTACCTATAAAACACGCTTGCTGATTTGATGAGCAAAATTGAATTTCCTTATTTATTAATTTGAGTTTCTTGGATTATTTCTGAAGCCACATATGTTTCCAAACTTTCAGTGGCCCCTTGTATGGTGGCTGTGTGTTGAATGATCAAGTTATTTGCCTACTGAGGAGTATTTGTGGGGTTTTTTGTTGTTGTTATATGGTTTGTTTCCAGCTATGAATCGGGTCTTTAGTTTTCCTGATTTATGATGTATCTTCTTTTTTAAGTAATATTTTTAGGTGAAGTCACATAACACAATTAACAATTTTAAAGGGACCAGTTCAGAGGCATTGAGTACCTTCATCACGTTTGCAACGACCACCTCTGTAGGATTCCAGAACATTGCCATCACTGCCAAGGACACATTTTTCTCCTGAGTGTTGAAATGGTTTGATCATCTAACAAAAAAACTCTGATTTGAAATACAAATTGATAATTACATATTGTGTGATGCAGAAGTTTCTCTATGGTGGACATTTGGGTTACAGCTGAGATGCCAATGTAAGTTCACAGTGCTCCAAAAAACCCACATTTACCACCGTCTGTTTTGCAATATGACTAAATCAAATTCTTTTTGCAAAAATAAGAGGGTGGGGATGAAAGGTACCAAAATGTGTTTTTTTTCCTTCTTAATGCCAAATGTTTCTTATGACACTTTTGCTTATTAATTACTTGGTTAAATTTTCCGGGCATGTGGGATTTGCATTCCATGCTGCATGCTTCCTGGAACCAGTCCGATTATGCTCATGGGCCCTGATCCTGCCCATTCTCAGAGGTATGGCCAACTGTCCGGCGTACCAACCAAGAAATTGTCATATGTGAAAGAAGAGGGATGAGAGTCTCTGGGACCTATCTGAGGCTTTCTTTCGGATGAAAAATGCTTTGAGAAAGAGGATTCTGCTGGGAAAAAAGTGATCTGAAGCCTTTCAAAGGTATAAATATTAAAACAAAAACAAAGAACTCGTAAGTTTTTAACCTTCCAAAGTGGCTCTGGGCTCTCTCCCCATATGTCAGGAAGCCTTCTAAGAACATTTGCCTTAGGTCAAAGGTCAAAGTACTTTTTCTGCCAAGGGTCAGGTAGTAAATACGTAGGCTTAGCGGGCCACATACATCTCTGCCATGTATTCTTTGTGGTTGCTGTTTTTAACATCCTTTTAAAAACATAGGGGCACCTGGGTGGCTCAGTGGGTTAAAGCCTCTGCCTTCGGCTCAGGTCATGGTCCCAGGGTCCTGGGATCGAGCCCCGCATCAGGCTCTCTGCTCAGTGGGGAGCCTGCTTCCTCCTCTCTCTCTGCCTGCCTCTCTGCCTACTTGTGATCTCTGTCTGTCAAATAAATAAAATCTTAAAAATAAAATAAAATAAAAACATAAAAACTGAGCACCTGGGTGTCTCAGTTGGTTAAGTGTCTGTCTTTGGCTCAGGTCATATTCCCAGATTCCTGATATCAAGCCCCACGTTGGGTTCCCCGCTCACCAGGGAGCCTGTTTCTCCATCTCCCTCTGCCACTTCCCACTCCCCACCCCAACACCTGCTCTCTCCCTCTCTCTCTCTCTCTCCCTCTCTCTCAAATAAAATAAAAATTTTAAAAATAAGATCAACATATAAAAACCATTCTTAGCTCTGCGCCACATAAAAAATGAGCCTCAGGGCAGATTTGGTCAACTGGCTGCTATTTGGTGATCTCTGCTTTGGGGTCCCAGAAAAAAAAAAAAAAAGCATGGATTTCCACATAGATTGTCCTCTCAGCAATGCATCCGCTTGGTCAGGCCTTCCCCTGTTTCCTCAACAGGTGGGTGCAGGATTTAGACTGAAAATTTCCAAGGCTTATTCTATGTTCTGTGACTGTCCCCAGATGACCTAGCTAAGGATCCCTCCTATTGTTTACCTCATCTAAAGCCTCAGCATCATTCAGAACCTCAGCATCAGACTCCATCCATACCCCTCTACTCAGAGCCTGGCAGCCCCTTCCTCAGGAAGCCCTCCCAGCTGACAGATGCTTAAGAGCCAAATGAGTGAGGGAAGGTTGAGTGTGTAAGAACAGCATCTGCCCATAAAGACACAGAGCAATCAAAAAGAAAGAAAACCACCCATCTGAGACAGGACCCCCGTCTTCTTGCAATTGGTCCCTCCAACGAAAACCATGTTAGGCATGACCGGTCTGGGATATTCAAACACAAAGTCATATCTTAAGAGCCAGATGGAGCCCTTCTGATACAAGGTGGGTAGGTGCACATCCCTCTTGAGGATATTGGAGGCGAGGTCTTCGTACTTCAAGTACAGACAGTGGAACAGATAAGTCTCCAAGTAATTAGCGAGGTAGTTGGCCACCCGTTTGGGGGAACGTCATCTGGTCTGAGAACTGAGTGTAGCATCTGGGAACGTGGGACACAGGGTTTGGGCTCCTGCTCATGGTATGCTCCAGGGAGCATGGGAAGCCCCTGAAGAGGTACACGGAGGGCAGGCCCAGGTACTCAGCCAGGATCACCCCGCAGGGTAGGGCTGGGTCTGTGAAAAGGGCATCGAACTTGCTCTCCCTGAGGACACTCAGGGTGGCCGAGTTCTCCAGGAGGCTCTGGCAGTTGGTGAAATACATGTCAATAACGATCATGCTATTCCTGTATTCCATCTGAGCAGCGTTCAGGAGCCATCTCTCAGCAAAGTGATTGTTTCCAAAAGAGCGGTACCGATTCTCCAGCTCCTCCTGGTCGAATGGCACTGGATAGATTTTTCTTGTGTAGTGCTTGGACTCCTTCAAAAGCAAATTGACTTCTGGCACCAGCACCACAATGTCATGCCCGTTCTCACTGAGGAGCTCAACTATGTCCTTCATACTGAGCCAGTGGCTTCCATCCTGAGGGACCACCAGCAGCCTGTCACCTACAACCTCCCCCCAGAGCACTAAGAAGAAAACTTTCTGAAACAACTGGAGGAGGCAGGTCATCTGGAGGAGAGGACAGGTAGCGACAAGAATAAACAGTTCACGTTCTCTAAACCTCAGGGGTCCCTGGCTCTTTTTCCCTGAAAGAACCAGTGCTCTTTACAACCCCTACCTACCCCTCCTTGCTCTGAATTTTGCCCCGTTTTAAAAGAACGTAAATTAATATTTAACTATTTTTATGCACACAGCAAACTTGACCCAATGAGGTTTCTTATCGGCTTTCACCTGAGCTTCTGGGTTTATTTTTCTCTTTCTCTCCAATCTGCCTCTCCTTCCCGAGCTTAGTCATGCTTGGAGGACAGCTTGGGAGGCTCCTGGAGGCTGGTGGTGGTCCTCTGTCCCGAGCTTTCTGGATTCCCCCGCGTGGTGATGATGTTCCTAGACAAACAGCTCTTAGTGCTTCTCCGCTATCCTCAATGTTGTTCAGAAAGGAAGGGTCAACAGATGCCAGATTCAAGATTTGAAACAACACAGTGGAGCTGCCCATTCCACCTCCTGGTGACCTTGTGACCACAGCCATCACTGGATTTAAAAGTGGGCTGCTGGAAGCTGAAGGGACACAGAGGAGTCTGATCTAGGCCCCTCCCCACCCCTTGGGTTCTTTGGGGTAAACCACTATTATTGCGAGTTTCCTGTTCTATCAGAAGACAGAATCTAATCCTTAAGATACATGCTCTAAAACCAGAATTCCCACTTTGACTGTGGTTAAAAGCAAAAATTCTGGAGTCAACCTACCTCTTCCAAGCTGTGCAGCCCCACTGTTCTGTGCCTGAATTCCCCGTCTCTCAAAAGGGAGTGGCATCTGTACCACCTCCTGGGGTTGGGGGGAAGAGCCGTGAAAATTAGTAAGTCAATCTATAATCTGTGGGTGCCCAGGACAGATCCCACAGAGGGGCTCCCTCTGGTTGTCATCAGGCAGCTGGGTCCTATGTGATATGAGCTAAGGAGCACCCCAGTGGTCAGAAAGTAACACCTAAAACGTCTCAGCAAGGGAAAGATCCAGCTTTGCCTTCTGTCAACCCCAGAGTACAGGAGGAATTAAAGGAGACAGAAGAGGAGGTGGGAAGATTAAAAGGGAAGAAAATGTAGACGTATAAAACAATGGGAAGGCATCAGGTGACAAGACATTTGACGGCAACAACTGACCAGCCAGCAGTCGAAACAGAAAAAAAAGCGCTAGCATCGGGACCCCTGATGTCTGCAGAACACTTTATGGCTTGCAAGACAGTTTCCCAGGGTCTTAGCGTCCAAGGGTCTCTGCAACAAAGTATCACACAGTGGCTGGCCCAAACAACAGAAATGTATTCCCATAGTTCTGGAGTCCAGAAGTCTGAGACCAAAGCATCAGTGGGCTTGAGTCCTTCTGGAGGCTTCGAGACAGAACGTGTTCCTCTCTCCTAGCTCCTGGTGAGCTAGGTGGATTGCTGGCAATCTTTGGCAGTACTAGGCAGATGCAGGCGTCACTTCATCTCTACCTTCCTGTTCGCCCTTCTCCCTGTGTATGTCTGTGTCCGAATCTCCCCTTTTCATTAGGACACCAGTCATCCTGGATTAGCGCCCACCACCAATGATCTCTTCTTAACTAACATATTTCCAAAAAGGGTCCCATTCTGAGGTACTGGGTATTAGGACTTCAACACATCTTTCCGGGGACACAAGTTAGCCAATAGCGCTCATCTATCATCTCACACAATTCAAACCCCAAAGTCCAGGTCTGAGAAAACTGAGGCTTGCCACTTTAAGAAGGGGCAGTTTTGGGGAACTTCTGCACCTCAGAAGGGAATACAGAACTGGCCCCCTCTAGATCCGCCATTCTCAAACCTTTCCATCTCAGGATTCCTTTACACTCTTAGTAACAATGGGAGACAACCCCCCCAAACTTTTGTTTATGTGGGTCATGTCTATCCAGATAAACCATTTTAGAAACTAAAACTGGCGTGTATAAAAGAGACTCCCTCACTCATTTATGATACCAAGAATAAGCCCAAGAGAAGCTAGCATGACTGACAACTTTTATGAAAAAAATACTCTATTTCCCCAAACAAGCAAAAAATTGAGCACGACGTTGTTTTACACGTTCTGCAAGCAAGTCCCTGTGATACGAACGTTTGTCTGACTTGGTAGACAATGGTGGGACTCTGCCACCCGCCTCTGCACTCAGCCTAGGCAATACCACATGTCGCGGAGCCTATGGAAAACTCCACGGTACCATGCTGAGAAGATGAAGTGGAAAAAGCAAGTAACGTCTTAACATTATTATGAAATCATTTGACCTCAGGGACTCCCGGGAAGGGTCTCAGGGATCCCTCAGTTTCTGTACTTTGAGAATCACTGTTCTAGATCAGAGGATGGCAATTTTTTTTTTTTCTGGAAAGGCCTAAATAGTACATATTTGAATTTTTATAAGCCATTGGCCTAGATACTGATACAAGCCAAGATGTCACCTCTTCCCCCCTCCCCATGTCCACATGGCTCGCTCCCTCCCTTCCTGCCCGCTTCGGTCAGTGTCGTGTCCAAGAGACTTCTCTGGTGAGCTCATTATTAAATAACCCAGCCCATCACTGGGAAGCCTTCAAACTCCTTATATTTCTCTGTTTCATTCATCACTACCCAACCTATTGCTCATTTATGTGTCTCCCCCTGACTAGAATGGGGAAACCCTGAGGGCAGGAACAATATTTGTTTTGTTCTCTGCTTTATGCCCAATATCTAGAAGAATGCCGAGCATACAGTAAGCTCTCCATTAATGTTTGCTGATTAAAGAACGACACTTTGGTTTGTCTGTTTTATTCCTACATTTCCTTTTTCTTCATGGAGCCCATCATGGGGCTTGAACGCACCACCTGAGATCAAGACCTGAGCTGAAACCGAGAGTCGAACACTTAACCGACTGAGCTGCCCAGGCACCCCCCCAACCTGCATTTCATTTTCTTGTCTCTTTCCAAGTTGTGAGAATTCATATATGAAATTTAAAGAACGGTGTGCTCTTTTTTTTTTAGAATAAACTGGTAAATGGCATTATGAGCATGTGATGGGTCACTTGCCTTTTAGGAAACTGAGACTTGAAAAGTCTGAGTGTAGCCAGCAAGTGGTAAGGGCCCTGGAGCAGGAGTTGGACGGCATTGAGCCCACTTCCAGCCCTGTATCCCCACTCGCCCCCCGTCTGCCTGGGGCATGACCCATCTCCTGATTGTTGGGTTTCTCAACTGAGACTCAGAGTGAGAGGGTCACGATTATCCTCCCGTGTATACCTACCACATGACCAAGGGAGGTCCAAGAGGATGAGGGTTGAAACCAGGCTAAATGAAAGGTAGTTTCTGGCATGACTAGAACAGACTCACCCACAGCTACTCAGGCACAACCGAACTCTCACACAAGGTCTTGTCATAATCCATGCCTGTGGGCTCATGAGGCATGCTGAGACCTCGGAAAGGAGAAGAAGCCAGAGGAATGGCACGGAATGGCACGGAATCACCATCCCAAGCACAGGGCTGGTCCCAGGAATGCAGCCAAGATGCAAATTCATTGCAACCTCCTCCAGGGAGGGACGCCAGCAGGATTTTCCATTTACAATCATCAGAGCCTGGAGGGGGGTAACATCCTAGTTTGGGTCCATCTAGACAGCAGTAAGACCCCAAGATGTTTACAGAGTGAGCACAGTGCAGGTCCACCCCTCCAGTGCAGGCAAGAGCTAAGACGATCCTTTCTAAGAGCAGTACATCGGGAGGCAGAAAGGCTTAAGCGAGTGTGTGGGGGGAGGAGAAACAAGAGAGGCTATAGACCTCAGCTGCTTCACTCCAGACCCCCATTCTGCTGAGGACCTTGGCCTGGGCCCTTCCTAGGAGAGCCTGGCTCTGATCTTGTTGTTCAACAAGAAGGCTGGGGAAAGCACATGACTTGGCTGGGGGCCCCATTCTCATTCCTAGCAGACCCAAACTTACACACTGGAGATAGGAGATGAAGGAAAGGAACCAATCCCACTTTGCAAAACATCACCAAAGACATGTCTTGCAAATTAAGAAAGCTTTAGAAAACAGTTCTCTTCCTCCTCCTGAGATTTGACTGTTTCTAAGAACGGTGCGTGTGCACACACAGGGCAACAGGAAGAAGGATCTAGCATGTCTGCCAATCCCAGTGGTTGTGGAGACCCTAAAGGTGATCTACCCCAAACGCCAGACCCACCCTGGGCAGTGCTGTAGAGCTCGACACGTTTTCAGGCATCATGGATTGTCTGGGAGAAGGCCAGTGTTTTCTTAGGGATTCTTACAGATCCAACAACTAAGCTTAGGACATGTATCAGTGGGGAGAAGGAGGTAGATCCTGGGAGTTCCCAAAAAGTCAGAGGAGGACACCTGTCTTTTGGCATAGAGGGGAGTCGTAAAGGTGTGCATGGAGGTGATGACAACCTCAGAGAAGTTGACCCTCAAATCACCCACGACCTATGAGTAACGGAGCCTGGACCTACAAGATTTAAAAGCACCTGCAAAGTGCTTGAGACCTGAGAAAAAGGCATTTGCTAACTGCAGAGCACAAAAATGCAAAATCAAATGAATAAATGTTTTATTAAATAACTACACAAGTATGCCTGTGTGTGAACAGTCTGCTGTGGTTTAGCGCATCGAGTAATGTGGACAGTGTATGAGATGTGGGATCCTGGGGCAGCTTAATCCATTGGCTAGGCCATGGGGTGTGGGCTGCAAAAATTAGCATTCTGGGTCCAGGTCTTGGTGCGGGTCTGAAATGGTCAAGTCTGAATCACCCATGGCTGGGACGGGGCAGTCCAGAGAAGTGTGGCTTGTCTGGCCAGACAGCTCCCAGTGGGCACTTGTCCTACTGTAAGAGCTGTGTCTATCACTACCCAGGGAGGTTTGCACCGACATGGGTAGTGGTCCCAGAAGCTGGGAGCAGTGGGGAGGGGCACAGGCCACTAATGAGCCCTGACCAAGGGACTACTTAGAGGACACAGACAGTAGGATTTCCACTTGCCTATTTTTACTAGAGCAGTCCATCCCAAAAGATCATTGACTAACACTTGCCCAATCTAACCCAGGCTTGGTCACTGAGTCTTGGGTCTCTCAGGACTGTGGGGAGCCAAAGCAGGCACAGGACAA